ACAGTAATGACGTTGAGAGGAAACGAGAAGGCTTGTAAGCAACTCGAGTCACCAATTTCCCCCTCAAGTGATCGTCCAAGAGTATGTAAAGAATAACGTGTCAGGCCACTCTTTGGCCTGTGGACCAACACTTTCTAATGGAATCAAATTTCGGGATATGTGATTTTTAATTATCTGGGTTGAAGGAACCAGTCATCAGCTCAATCAATTGGATTCCTACTGTATTACGATACGAGTTGAAAAGATGAATTTAACTGACTGTATGTACAAATGCACTTTTCTGTTTCTGCATCCAGAGGATTTTAAAAATGATATACTGCGCAATCCTAAAACAAATACAGTAATAAGAATAAAATAGAATAAATAGATGATCTCAGGGTATTGCAGCTCCTTCCACAAGCGCGTGCTTCACAACGGGATAAATGCAATTAGCCTGTTGAGAAATATAGTCGTAGCTGTAAAAATACACAACAATACTCTGGTGTGTGTGTAGTTATGCTCCATTTTCAAGGGCTGGAGAAGCATCAACTCGAAGTCACTCGCTTGACATCAATTTCAAGAGCAATCTTATTTCAATATAGTGCTTTTAATTCGACTTTGAAATTTAAAACAAGGGCAAGAGCACTGCAGTGTCTCGTGGCAAAAATGTCATTCCGTCACTTCTGCTATATCTACGTAGCCCAAAAGGATTCAATGAGATTTTAGACAACAAAAATCTCATCGAGTCTTGCTATACCTCGCAAGCAAGTCTAATGTGAAGTTGGTCAGCGAGTCTTGTTTCATTTTCCAAAAGCTGGACACACGACGAACAAAAAAATTAATAACAAGATTCCTTCGTCTCCATTCTCTCGCGACCATCAACATCAGGGTGTGGAAGAAGGAACTCGAGCATCTCCGTGCCCGATCTCAACCCGCCCCACCTGCAGAACAAAAACCCGAGGTCTGCAAGCTCGGCGTCTGGTGTTTTGATTTCTACTCCGTCAATCCCCGTGGAAAAAGAAAAAAAAGAAATAAGCAACTTTTTACAGGCAGGAAGGCTCGTCAAAATTCGCAACGCATGTCTCATAGCAGTCACGCGGGGCCCATCGGCATGCATCTCCGTGGAAGCCTCGACAAACAACCGCAGGGATATAAGGCCATTTCGTTTCTTCATTGCACGTTTCCGTCCCACGCTATTTGAAACTGCTAATTTCTCAACCGAATCCCCAACAATACGAATGCCTCGACTGCGGTTCCGTCGGAATCACGCCGTTGATGACGCGCGAAAGTTTAAACCTTCCCACGCGCAAATTCCCGAGCTCAGGGGCCAGCTGAACAACTTCATTGCTTCCAAGTACTAAAGGACGTTACGCGTCTTCAACAAGCACCAGCTCGTAACCTCAAGTTCTCAACCAGGGCCATGAAAAGGGTTGAGGGTGCGTGGAAATTTCTTGACTCGGCCAAACGGCAGCAATGAAGGAGGGAACAACACCAGCTCTCCAACCGGAACGCCGAATTAACTCCGTGGCTTGTGTGGGAGAAAAAACTGCTTGCCTGCGGAACAAAGGAAACGCCGTTTTCACGGAAACTCCTGGGTGGAATTTACCTGCGTCCGGGGAACAACTAATTAGCTCGCGGAAGCCAGAGATTTCAACAATTATTCGCTAATCTTAAATCTGGGCCCAGCTCCAAGTTGGGGACGGAGGCTGCCAAAAGCCGCGAGGAATTGCGAAGGCTTGAAATACGTAGGGAAAAGGAGGGGGAAATCAGGGAAGAGAATGAGATGGAGGGGTAAACAGAGCCCGTGTTCAGCGGGTAAACGCCCAGAAGAAACACTAGCACGCAGCTCTGGTGAGCGGGGATGATAGCCAGAAAATATTTAACCAATTAAAAACCCACTTGCACCAACCATCAACGCGGGAATGAGTTCCCAGCCGCAAGGTGGCACTTCATTTAATTACTTCCCCTTTCGATGAGGGACACAGTCTCTCTTCGGCCCCCTCTCCCCTTCCGGCTCGTTCTGTTGCCCCGTCACCCGATACGATTACTGCCGTAACAATTTGTTCAGCCTGTCCCGCTCATAAAATTTATCTCTGAAACCCGAGCATAACTGGGCCCGTCTGTGGCACATGCCTGGCGACTGGCTCGAGACCCCCGCTGCAACTTCTTGACACTACGTGGGACCATAGCGACGGGAGAAAAGCACCCGAAGGGAAAATAACCAGAAGCAAAATTCATGTACAGTACAGTACAATATTTACAAGACATCATGGTCGAAATTGCGTTATGAGGTTTTTTATTCCGGGGTTTGCAGTACAGTATTTTACTTATCCTGTGCACAGGACATGATGCAAAATACTTCGTGTGCTTCATACTTTCTTCCGCGGTGAGATTTTCTAGGCGCCAGTCTCATCCCAAGATGTTCTGTACAATCCGCGAGCATATCCCAAGTACTGTAAAATACATTAGAATGGATATCCTAGAATACGAGGTAATCGCAATAAAAAGTAATTTCTGGTGCACAGGTACTTTCGAGCGAATATGCACTCGTTCCCCCGAAAAATCATTACGATTCAATCCATGCAATAGGTGCGAAGAGACGCTTTGTGCGCTACAAAAAAAAATTGTAAAATAATGTCGGTAGAAAGACATCCAGTGAATTAGACTTAATTTTATTGTAATCTTAGTCAATCATCGCATCAAATTCTCATTGACTTTCTGATCACATGAAAGGAGTCCGTTAAGCTAGTGAATCTCGGGTTTTAAAATCTGGCAATAAAATTTCTAAACGCACGCAGAGGCAATGGAACATTCCATTCTGGTCAAATGCTGCATAATATTTTACATGCGCGCCGAATTGACCGCGGAATTGTGCACCCCTCCTTCGTTCCAATAAGAATAAGCACTCACGAATCTAGTTGGGATTTAGGGCACTAATTTTGGCCTATTTTAGTTTTTCAAAGGACTTGACTAAGCATCATACTTCAGAACGCCCTCGAATATTTCTCATTTAATTCACTTTGAATTCCAAACTATTTTCACCTCAGGAACGGAACGAAACGCCTTTCTTGAAATCTGCAACCACTCCAATACCTGTGACGGGAAATCCCTGGTTTGAAAGATGTTCGCGGATTCAACCATTGCGGATATCAAATGCTACCGATTTTCAGGATGGATTTTCATTACTGAGGTGTATCTCTCCCGTCCTGTCGATGCGTTCGGCTTTGGCAACTTCGTTCGCACGCGTGCGACCGACTCCACGGACGGGAAGGAAGAGATCCAGAATGTCGAGCCATCATTAACGAGCGGGCACGGAATCACTGCACGGCCCCGCCCGAACGATTCCCAAGCATAATTTCCGAGATTACGAGCAACGGCGGGAGGGCGAGCGAGCGGACAAGTCCCGGGCAATGGAAAAGGAAGACGGGCTATTAAATCGGAATCATGGTCCACGCGGAGAGGAGTCATTCACCGTGACTGCGAGGATCATCATCATTACGCGTTTGTCCAAGGGGTTTCGCGCTTTGTAATTCATTTCCGTCCCCCCGCGGAATCGTGTCAACGTTGGTTTCATTCCCGCAGTCCGGCCACGATGTCTTCATTACTGCGCATCATGAACTAAAAACACCATGTCCCGCGTTAATGATTCGGCGCAGAGGAAAAGCGACACGAAGGTCAATTTCTCGGAGTTCCTCGGCCAATCCATCCGGCCGTTACTAACGACGAATGTGCGAGTGTCTCCCCTCATTAGCGAGTTCATCTTCGATCACGCATCGCGCACGAATGGCGTCGTCCTCACTTTTTCCCCTCTCTTCTTCCCAGCGAGATAGGACAGGGAATCAACGGAACCCCGTTAGCAAGTAGACAACAACCTGCTCATCTAACCCATTCATGCTGCGGTCCTTGCGCATCTCGGCTCATCATCGGCTACTTGACGCCCGTCATTCGAGCGGGGATGCTGGACATCAAGGGAAAATCTTGGTTTATTACCTACAATTAACCTTGTGTTGAACTTTCCGGGCGAGTGTTTCGTAACAACGCTCGGGCATTTTAACGAGGCTTTATATCTGTGTAGAAAATTATTAAGCGTCCTGAAGTTTCTCTTGAGAAAAGGGACGAGGGGCATGCAAATAGCGCCTTCACTGGTACATCATACTTCGGAATCCGCATATTTTTGAACATCGCTACAAGTTGCATAAGCGATAAGCTTCAAAGCGGTAAAATGCAAACGAGAAACTCGAAATTCTCCACTATCATATTTCTCACAGTGAAATCGCAGAATGAGGTAGACTTTCTAGAATGAATTTTTTTTCCCCACGGTATATTCTACACGAGTTCTGCGCAGCTCAAGAAGTGGACACGGGCCATTTCACAGTATTTCTCAGGACCCCTGATAAATACTCTGACCCCACGGAGAATTATTTCATAAAGCGGATATGAAGTAATCCTATCTCTAAATGGTGAAACCTATTGACTGGCTGTAACGAGCAACTCATGAAGATGTAAAATCTAAGCTAAAGTAATACAATGATGCTTCGTTCTATGACTTCAGCAACATTGCAATATCCATTACGGCGGTTTCTTTTCAATCAACCAAGGAAAAAATTGCAGCACGCTCTCACTCTCGCAATAAAGATTCTTCGGGTACAATACTTGAAGTTCAGCTTTCGTTCGCAGATCTCAAGCGATTTTCTCCGCACGAGGTGAATTATTTTCGTGGTGGAACTGCTTATTATGAACAGTCCAAGGAGGTCTTTCAGGCAAAAATTATCGATGTCTAGAGGCATTTCTTCATCCCCTGAGTACCCTATCAGACTGCGGTGTGGGCTGCAAAATTTATCTTCATTTTCCTCGCGGATCATGTAAAAAAAAATGGACAGGAGAAACGGAATCCTGACCTGATCAGGGGTTGATGCGGAATCGGCGTGCGTCGTGGTGTCGGCGCTAGACCGATGAAGATTGCCACCACTACCGGGACCAGAGCCGATTGCGCCAAGCGTTCCACCGGAACCGGGTCCCACGGAACCGCCGTGACCACCGGAACCACCGCCACTACCGGGACCAGGACCGGAACTACCGTTCGAGTCACCCAAATCCGGCTTCCCGCTGTCGCGCTCATCGATCACCAGATCAATCGGCATCTTGCCTTTCAGAGCACTGATGTACCGGTGGCAGAAGTTGTCACAAAGCTCGTGCACCTGTAAAAACATAGAAATGTCATACTTGAATCCTCTAGAACTTAGAAACCTTTAAAAATATTCAACGCAGAAAACGAGCATCAAGCTCGGTCAAGTGGGCGGAATCGAATCAGAAGAATACCAAACGACAAATTATCGGTAAATTTCTAAAGCGGTTGAAGAACTGATGGAAGTTGATTTCACGAAAAGCTCCGTGCGCATGCAACATACATTTTGGTAAAGGAAGATCACTTGCATTTGGTTCGCAGGAAGAACTGAAAATATGAACACAAACCACGCATCAGGTTGGCCCAGGGCTCCTCGCTTTGTTTCTTTTCGTGATCGATTCACGAGGATCATAGCATTCATAGGGAGCGAAAATAGTCATCTGGATGTAATTTCTCGGCTTTGGAATCTACAGGAGGGTAAACAAGGAGCCACAGACGAGCCGGGAACGAGAAGAAATTTCCGAGCTCTTCTCCCTCTTCCTTTTTTTTTGAGCAGTTCGCAACAAAACCGGGGGTTGAAATACGAACCAGCCCGAGTCAGCTGTCAGGCCCCCGGGAGTAAAATTGGTTCTCGATCCCACGGTAAATCTCGGCGAGCTTTCAGCAGCGACGTGACAGCCCGTCAACATCCGCTCCCAGGCCCGCCGAGCAGAGACGCTTCCTCTGCCTGCAACGAACGAGTTTCGCGTTTTCCCCCGGCGAGAACGGGCCCTTGTCGCTATTGATCACGGATTCTCGTCTCAAGTCGCATCTTCGCCGGATGCGGAATCCCGCCCGCTGTTGCGTCGTTACCACTGTGAACCAGACGCCTTGTTCTTCCCGACACCTAGCTGTCGAGAGTTCTCCCAACGATCCGCGCATCCATCCGACTCCCCTGCGAGATGAGTTTCTCCCGTATGCTCGACGCCGACTGCTGTCATGAATACCGTGCTGTATTCTTACCCTTCCGGGGGACGAGTTCGGGTCTTGTTGCCGATCAAGGCACCGCCTAGACGACGGCTTTTCAATATTTTTGAGGCTTGTACCACTTGCAAGGCGTGCCGGTGTGCACATGATCACCTCTGCCCCGTTCCTGGCTCAAGGGAATCCGCGTAAAATAAAAATTTGAATTCACGTGAAAAGTCGGAAGTCGTTCACGTTTACTACCCATTTAACTCACAAAAGCTTCATTTTTTCAGTAATTTACCGCACCTCCGTCAGTTGAGTTATGCAAGACAAACGATGCAAGTTGTAGCACCTTACAGCTTTCTTTATGAAACCTTAAGCGTACCACCTGTCAATTGCAACCCGTAACCTTCAGTGGAGGAGATTGAAAATCCATGGCCCGCACACGGAGGGGTTTTCACCGACCACTTACCGATGAATAAGTGGAATTATCCGTGAAGAAGTTTGGCGTGTATTGAATACATTTCAATCTTTATAACTTCAGTTAAACCAAGCAACAGGACTCACGGATTGACAAAAGAAAATGGAAGCTGTGATCACAGTACAGTATGAAAAAACCCTAAAACGAGTATGCCTCGAAATTGAGTTAAGCATCATTTTAAAAATAACGCCAACGTCCTGAAGCACAGGAAAATCTTCCATAAGTGATAATTGGACAGTTGACCAACACTGGTTAGTTAAAAAACGCTGACACCTTAAAATTCCAGCCAAGAATCTCATGACACAGACTCACAGAGGACAGTTTTTTAACCGGTAGAAAAAGCACTGTATTCGTGGTAGGCCGGATTCATGCCTGGAAAGCTTCTTTTTGCTCCCACAATCAGTAATTCCAAACTTTTTTGTGGAATATTATTCGAGGTGCGATATATGTACCGTATTCAAAGTTGAGAGGTGATTTTACACTAAATTGTTTCGATATGAAACTGGCTGCGTTGTCAAGGTCAGTTTCACGATGATTCAAGAAAAGGAGGCCATTGATGGTTTGCAACCACGCGAACGATGGTACAGGTTCTCATGAGGTACGGAAGATTGGGCCCGATCTTCCGACTACCGTTCTCATCGAGGAAGAACAGTTGGAGAGGGAGAAGGTCATCGATTATCTGTGGCTGAATTCCACGATTTCCTTCATTTTATCCCAAATGTTGGCCATGCTTGCAGCATGAGTGACCAACTACTGCAGTATTTCAATGTTGCAATATTTCCCGATATTCCGTTAATTTTATGATGCATGAAAAATGTTACGACTTGCAAGGAATAACACGAAGAGGGTCTCAAGTCATCGTAGAATACACATCTGTTTCAGTTTTGAACACCCGTAATTTTCAATAATTCAGAAAGGCCTCCGGTCAGCGGCCCACATAATATAAATACTGCATGAAAGTTGAAACTGCCATAGTTACTCAAATATGGGATGCACCTCCATGCCTAAAACATCTATGCAATTTTGCCGGCCGATATCACCTCATTAAAATCAAAATACTGTACTTGAAGGAATCTACTCATTCTACTTATTCTGCATGTGCCAGCCGGATCTCCTCGACCGTTTTCAATTCAAGTCAGGATTTTAACTCGGTTGAGAGCTACAAACTTACAGCACTGTAACGATTTTTGTTCCTGCATTGCCATTTAGACAGGTTTTATTCCAAAGAAGATGTTGGTCAGAAACGAGCATGCTCTTGACGAGCGAACCCATCGAATAAAATATCGTAAGTATCCTTTTTTTGTGTGTCATTTTTTTATGAAATTAAAATTGTCTGATTTTCGAGTAAATTCTGTAATGCGTATGGAGAAGAGAAACGACTCGGGAACCGATCGCAGTAACTCTAGCGGAATCAGAACAGAGATGCTTTTCGCGGAGATTCAAGAGATGGATTCGCGGCCAGAAACTCGTCAAGGCGCGTTGTGAATCTGCCGAGCACCAGACAAAGATTTCTCGCTCGTTGAAAAGCGCGGCCGGGTGGAGAGGAGATAGAGGCCTCGAGGACGCGCCCAAGCGCCATGCTAAAAGAAGTAATTATTCGCCTGTCATCGTCAGACCGCATGGCTCTGTCGCACAGGGACGTCGGTTCTTCCTTCGCCATCCTCCCCTCCACCCATCTCCCCTTGCTCTCGTCACGCAGCACAACACCCTGACGACGTCCTGACGTGGGAAGCGGAGACAAGAGCTTTTCCACCAGATCCATCAGCGGATCCTCCCAGCTGCCGGAATGCGCGTCATGCATTCCGCGCCGCGGTAAACAGAACGACCGGCGGGTGTTGGCCAGACGTCCGTCGGCGATCACCAATTTACAGCCAATAAATCAAGCCCGGAACCCGGCTGGCCGCCCGGCCGAGTGTTACTTTTATCGCATCCCGGCTTTATGGCGCTAATTCGACATACACACCTCAAGACTAAACGTCCACTCCCATGAGCCAGTGACAGGCAGAAGTCATATAAAACAATTCACCGTTTTCCTGATGACCTGCTCTAAGGGCTACATGAATTCTACTCTTCGAAAACGTTTCTTAGGTCAATTCAATCGACTAGGTCCCAAACCAACAGACCGGGTATTTGCATTTTCAATCCCGACAATATTTACGAACAATTGAAGCGACACGCAGACCAATAATCCTACTCAACGCAAAAGTTTTGTGCAATTTCGCACTTCAACGCAAGAGCGCTTCACATTGCACTTCGACGGAATCAGCCAAAGTCCCAGATTCGAATGAGACTAACGAAATGCCTTAATCTAGCCATCTTCGAAAATCAAAAATCGTGAGCAGAAGGCGTGAAAATCAGACAGATCAAAGGCTTCGATTGGTTTCCTGAGAGAAGCGGCGTTTGAAACAATGAGATCGATTCGAAGTCAGATTTCAGACAATCCCCTCGTACAGTATCACTGCATTCAATAAAAAAATAATCCCCCCACCCCGATTCCATGCGATACTCAACATTTGAGGTCTTTAGGCAAAGAACTAAATAGGGGTTAGCGTCAAGCGTGCGATTAACTTTCGAAGCAACCTATTTTACATGACGCCCGCAAGGCACGCGAATCAAAGCGAGTGCCAGCGCGTTCACGGCTCAACACTCACGGGCCGGACCGAAAACAGATAATGAGATAAGATTCGCATTACAAGTGGGCGAACCCGTGGTTCAGGTCGGGCGTCGGGCGGGTGGTGGAAGTGGAACCAGCGGTTTTGGCAGAGATAGTGGGCGTGCGGACGATGAGACACCGGCGCTCCAGATGCCCTGCTGCGATTACGAGGCACTTTTTTGTACCGCAGATCTCGGGTTTCTCGTCGATAATCGCTGGACGACCGAGGGGGAGAGGACCAGGTTAACCGCCGGACAGACTAAAAACCACGCGTGCATTTTCCGATTAATGAATTCAGGTGCGCGCCTCAGGTTTGCGGACGCGTGGCACGGGCACTGGAGCGAAGTACCACGGAGGTTTCATTTTCTTTTTCGCAGCCGAATTGCGAAGCGACTTCCCGCTTTCGTTAACATTCCTCCACATGCAAGCCTTTGTCGGACAAAGCCAGAAAACAGCCGGCTTTTCGCCGACACACAAAAGCTCTTGCGCCGTAAAAACAGTCTCACCAATGGATTCCTTAGAACCAGGCTCTCCCTGATGCCTGGTGGACCAGCGATTTTGCCAGCCACCATCACCCATAGCTTTTCAATTCCATCAAGGGCCCACTTGAATGTACAGAAGGTACTCGAGTGAATGACCGTCTCGGATAGCGGCTGTTGCCGGTGTTTCTCTCGACAAGGGCTCCTGTTTTGGATAACAACCCACAAATCAAATGATAGCGCCTTAGAAGAGCAAACTTTTTCGTTCAAACGTGGCAGTGAATCTTTTCTTGTTGTTGAAGATATTCGAAGCTGTGAGGCTGCTCTAGATCTAAGTTGTTTTCCTTCAACATTTTGGATTCCTTCCCAAAATGAATCGGCAGCATGGCCATTCATAAAACATGATTGTAATTCAAGACTACAATTGTGTGGTTCTTGAACAATGGCTCCTGCCAAATTTTTCATGCCATGCAAATTGATAATAAATTTATATAAATTTTGTCTATCCGCCATTATTATTTTCTTGTAATAGATACGGAATCCTCGGAATTGCATTGAAGGCTACTCCAAACACAGGTGAAGGAAGACTCAATTTTGTACAGTTCAGTACAGTATTACGGAGTATGTAGCAATCCGTCCCCATGGTGTCCAAAATCAGATTATTTGATTCGTTAACAACCCTCGTATGTTAAAGCAAAGGCTGTTATCCGGAGCGGCGACGAATCCCCGTAAATGCTTCCCTCGACGAGACGAAGACCCAAGTACAGTGTAATCTCGGATTACGGCCACTGTCCTGAAGCGAATTTCGTCAAGTAACCGAGGTACTCGTTTACCGGTTAATTACGGGAATTCATCTCAGAATCCTAAGCACGAATGACGCGCTGGGAAGTTGTAAGGATCCGGGAATAGCCCTGTCGGAGAGAATTCCATTCCGCATCATCGGGTACTTCCCTCAGTACAAAAAATCCGACGCTTCCGCGACCCGCATCAATTAACAACGCATAACGGCCTAATTCGCCGGCGTGAAAACGCCGAACCAGTCACTGTCGCGGGTTACTCATCGGCGCCGAGAAACTGATCCAATTACCACGTAAACATCCGGTGTCCTCGGGGTCACGACAAGCATTTCCCTCGACCGACATGTTGCAACGAAATTCGTCGAAGTACCGTGATGAAACACGCATTCCACACCGGCGAACTTAATTGGGCGGTTGTCCAGCAGCGGACATAAGACTGACGAGATCGGAGGCGTTCGTCGAGCAAAGCGACACACGATGTTTGCCAACACGCGGAGAACGAGCATTCGTTAAGCATGCGAGGTCGAAAACTGTTCATACCGAGAAATCGATAGGACGCAACACCTTTTTCAACGCGTTTTTATTGTGTCACGAGGCGCTTTGAGGCCTCCAGTTCAACATTAATGACGTCCACACCAGGAACATCTGCTCGCGTTTCTGTTAATTTTCGGCGAGAGTTACCAACACTGTATTCCAGTCGCCATCAAATAGCAACTTGATCGTTCAGGCAACAAAGCGTACCGAACAACTATGATTCTCGTCTTGATGAAATTGCTTATCCGAGCTCAGTTGCTAACGGTGGATGTGATATTGCAGGGATCAGACGATGCGAGAGCCGATCGTGAAACTTTTCATTCATTTGGCAACGCTAACGCGTTCGCTCGGAGGGCTGAAAGGATAGGCAGTGAAAGCGGCGCCTAGAAAAGTGACATCGATTCGGTCCCATACACGTTGTTGCTTGTCATCCCTGCACCGTGAAAATCTGGCGAAACGCGACAAAAGAAGGGCAAGGGGGACGAAATGAACGACGCCGACACGATCAAGGCACCGGTGAGCTCGTAATTACTAGTCGACCGTGTCGACACGCGGATGCACGTCGGAAAAAAGGGGGAGTGAAATCAGCAGAACTAGAAAGAAAATTGTCAAAAGTATAATACAGATGTGAACCGGTTGAACCCGACTTGGATAGCGGCATCCGTGCCAAGTGAGCGTCCACTGAAAAAATGTGGAACTTATAGCAGGATTTTCGGAGATGAAATTTAATGCTGGCTCCTGGGGCTCATCATCCTTATCCATCTCCAACACACACACAGAAGGGATTTCACATTGACGACAGCACCGTGCTTCATTTTCCTATGCATCTCAACAATGGGTTCAATTCATCGGGAATTTGCGGGAAATATTGATAACCCGTCAGCTACTGGCTAGATAATTTTGTCATCTCTTGAAATGTTTCACAGTAAATTACAGTGCAATATTTGATCATCCTTGATTATTCGCGCGAAGGCAGTCGATATTTCCGATAATTTAAAAATGGCTATAATAAATTTTAAGGGAGCCTAAAATGCATTAAAATAGTACATGTACCGTATTTTTTTAAATTTAATATGACTCGGTTAACAGACTTCCCGGATAGCGGCCCTCCCGATTCAACTGATCAAGACTTATCTTCGAGGCATAGCTAATATGTAATTTTGGAGCTTCATTCGAGTCAAGAAAAGTCGCGAAGCCAGTTGGCGCAGCGATTTCCGGTTAATAGCTTCGCATCCCGCGGAAGCCGCATTTTCTCCATGACCAGGTATAATTAATGGCTGTCAACTGTCGGGACAAGCGGTGTCCAAACGCGTGTACCTTGAACGAAATTGCTCATCAATTTGTCGAGGAATTTCTCCATCTGCTTCCCCCTCCGTTCTCGGCATCGCTCTCGAGCATCCCGGAAAACTTCCGCAACACATGGCCATCGCAGCATCTGGTGTCTTGCCCCGAGAGAGCGGGGCTCTGCCACTCCTGAGCGACGCGGAATGACAGCAGGCCCAGCCTCCCTGGCGTCCATGTAAAAGCTATACGGCAATAAAATCTGAGTCGACACCTGGGTGGGAAGGACAATAGCCTTCAGGCACGATATCTGAAACATTTCGGGCTGTAACCAGCATGCTTTGTACCCAATGCTTGATACGTGCTCCTGGTCGGACGGGTTTCATTCTACCAGGTTGCTTCGGTGATACCAAGACCGTCGGACTGCAGCAAAACTTCGATTGCTATATATTCAACTTCTATGTATTGTTCCGATTTTGTTCATGGCAAAGAAGCGGCTTGCATTTCTCAAAATAACCACTTGAGTTGCTTCAGTACCATCAGATCCCGGGTAATGCAACCCAAAGACTTTGTAGGATGTCAGGGATATTGTTTTAGCTCATTCTTGCTTTGTTAAATTTGTTCATGAACACGAATCACTCACTAAACATGACAGAATATTTGATTATCCGGCAGAAATAACCCGTCATCCGTTCAAGCAATCGCAGTCATACAGGGGATGTGCTGAACTGTACTTCATGTAACATAAATTAGCAAGGTAATGATGTTTTTGGTTGACATCGATCGTATCCGTAGTAGGCAGTGGGGCAGGAACTAATTTCTGACAATTGTGACAAAAAGAACTCGGATCCACCATTCTACTAATTACAGCTGCGCGATGAAACTGATAATTAGAGTAACCACTCACAAACTTTCTGTTCCATTGTTGTCTTAATCTCGCATCACAGAACAAAACCATTAACTTTATTCCTGAAAAAGAATGACTACAGAAAAAGCAGGAAGCAGAAAAAATGAACATGGAATCTAAGAGCTACGCTTTCTTTTTTTTCTTTTTTTGGAACAAGAATCATTTAAATTTTGCACGCATTCAGAAGATGCAATGACTGACAGTAATATATGATTGGCTTAAGAAATCATGATATTTATAAACTCATGCTTCTTCATTAAATCATTCAATCGAATGAAATTTAATCATGTCAGTTACATCAAGAATCTGAGCTCTCGTCAGAAAATTTAAACGAGCCGGGATTAAAAGATGAATCCCAAATTTTATCCCGCACTTTCGAAAAGTTTAACGCAAATGGGTCCAACAAAGATCAATGGCAAAAAAAAACAATTTAATCCACAAAATGAGCGGAGAAGACGGTATATTTCATGACATTCGATTTAATTCGTGCCTAGCTATGACACAAGTTACTTATTTACGCCACAACTGGTGTGGTATTGAAAGGAATGACCAGGGAAGATATTGCAAATGCGGTACATTGTCAAATTAAACTCTAAAAAAAGCGTAAACCAGAGTGTACAACGTGTGAACGACGTAATGGGTGGAAGAGAAACGGATTACTCAGTTAATGTCACATACAAAGCTCACAAAGGGGGGGTTAACTTGGCGCGCTGCTAAACCATTGCCGAAAAAGACAAGCCAAAAGCAGCGGCAATCCCACTCGGGCGGCATTTCCATAATCCAATCAGCAGGCGCGTCTAAAAATGCAGCAGCCAGGCTGCGATACACGACACGCTTCATTACATCACGCAATCGCCGAGATTTCCCTGTCAATAGCATCACTCATACCCCGGGAACAACGAACCAGCAGCGCATGGCCATCTTGGAATCCTTCAACATCAGGATGCGACCTCCGAACCTTGAACGCATCGTTCCCCAATCCCACTTACGCCGATTACCGCAGTCGTTTACTCGAGTACCTCCGGCAATTATTACCACCAGGTGTATACGCCCGTCTTCAACGACAGACCGAAAAGCTGGATCAACAAGTGTTTAGGACCAATAAAAAATATACTCCCACAAGGACACTCACTGCCGCTGGCAATGAAAACTTCCGAATTTAGAAGGGGGAAAAGTCGTGATTCATTTCTCCCGCATGTGTGGAGAGTTGAGACGGGCCAAATATGTACACAGACCGCACCGCGAATTAGACTTTCGCAATTTCGAACACAAACGAAGGCTATTACAGAAAATGCAAATCGGTGGGCAAGAATTTGGCCTATGTCAACCTGAAATTGAAGAAGATCTTCAGCAAATAACCAAAAGCTCGAAGCTTGTCATTCACTTGATCTTACTCTCGCGGGAGTTGACGGAATCCTGATTCAGAAAATCGGGCACTCAAGGAATTTAATTTCACGGTAATTGATAAAAATGTTTGAACCATTATTTGCAACACATATCAATTGAATCGTTTCAGAAATTCATGAGCAAGTGTGTGAATGGTCCAAAGTCATGCCGAAATACAAGTTCCGAAGCAACATGGAAGTGATGGAATTAGGACCATACTTCGCAAGCGTATCACTTTCAGAGTCAGCTGCATGCCATGCGTTCGGAAAAAAAGCGTGACGCTAGGTTGAACGTAGATTTCATGGGAAAGGACGCAGTGAAGCAAGATGGAACAAAATGGAGGAAACGGTTGCAACTCACCTTTTCAAGCTCCAAAAGATGAAACCTCAGGACCTGGATAGCCTGGACCATCTGCAAAAAGAAAGATAAAACAAGTGGACGGTTTAGCACAGCGTGACCAACGGGTCGGCATCAACGATAAGAGGAATTAAATTGAGCATAGGTTAATTCGGGTGTTTTCCTCCTCTCTCGATCTCGGACCCCTCATGGTGGAAGAAAGACCCGGGGCGGCATAGGTGATCCGGATCAGATCGCTATCGGGAATATGAATGGTAAAACCGAAAAGCAGGGGCGTATATCGATTATATAAAACGCGGGTGCGATAAATAGGCCGGGTCCCGTAAAAAGCAAGCGTCGCGTTTATTCAATGTCTCCCCGACCCGTTTCCGTCGCCTGGCTTTTGACGCGGTATCCGAGGGTGACGTTGTTTGGTTGTCCCGGTCAATGGGATTGCCGCGGGTTGCTCGCGGGGCCCTTGTGATTGCGGAACAGGGGATACACACTGACGCCGGGATGAAAATTGAAATCAAACCATCTGGAATCGGCTCATTGCACCCGGGATTGCAACAGGACATGCGAGCCACCCCTGTTCACCGAGGGGTTCCCACCAGGAGTGAAAAAAGTGCAATGGATCGCGGGTGACTGCTGAAATTTTCACACGTGCCTCTTCCGGATTTCCGCGATTCGTTCTCCCTCGCCGGAGCTGTTGCTTCTTTCCTATTGAGCGCAAATCGCCACCGCCGAAATCCATTTCGGTCCAAACGAGAATCTCGACCGAGTCACGTTCTGCGGGCGATCACGGCTGCTTCCTCATCACTTGGATTAAGAAATCCATCGCGATACGCCCAGAAAAACCGCGCATTCGTTATTCCAAGCTAATGCCTCGGAGCCGAGACAAGAAATGAAGGCGCATCAGTCGCGGAATCCCACAGGATACCCTCGGTCGTCGTGGGACGATGAACGGGGCCATAACCTGCATAATCGAGCCAGACCGGGGGATAAAACATCTCGGCTGTACGCCATTACCAGGGAATCCTCTTTGTTTTTCCACCCCTCAACCCCTTTTCCCCTGAAGGCCATAACGCAAAAGGAAGCCCAACAGCCCGTCTAATTGTAACTGCGCCACATATCAAGACGGACGCTTCTACCCGGTTGCCGATTATTCCTCGTTTTGCGCCAATTCAAGCCCTGGTGCGCAGCGTCTGTGCTTTCGACGGCGTCTCCGCTTCATTAAGCTTCTTCTGAATGCAGGACCACGAACGCCGCTCGGACACTTGGAGAAATTAGCTGTCAAATGCGCGAGATACGGCGTCGCGGGGCGGTTCGCCAAGTACCGAGCGCTTACGAAACCTCCGAATGTGCACGGTTTAATTTATGCGCCGGCCTCGCCTTCGACTTGCGGGCAATTCCGGGCTCACGGGCCATCGCTCTCATCCGAACACCATGTGTTCTTCGGGCAGTATTCGAAACCGTCATTCCGACGGACGGTAGCGGTAAGAAATCGGTCTTCCACGCGTTCCACTCCGGTTTACCGATTGGAATCGTCGAATGCATGGCGAACAATATGCTCAACCATGCCACTCAAACTAAATCGGAAGCTCATACACGCAATACCCCCATAAAGCCGGTATATTTTTGCGCGTCTCAGAACAGTGATTTTCAACGAAGTATGAGAAGAACAGGGAAAATGAAGACCAATTCAAGCACCGAATGGCACCAACTACCGTATTCACGCAGCTGTGGGCAGCGGATGAAGGAAAGCCACCCACTGATTTCAAAGGGTAGGGCGGGATTAGTTTTCGAAATTCTCATAGTTTTCTGAGAGAAAAATGCGTGCATATGAATAACTGTACAGTACTTATAATTATCGCATTCAGACTATGAACTTTTCGCCGACAGATTCGCGCACTCACGACTGAATAATTTTCCTTTCGAATAGCGGTCAGCAGGAGGCTAACTGGTCAATATTTGATTTCCTACTAGAGTACTGTACAGTAATCGAACTTCAAAAAATTGCTGTCTCCGTCTGTATCCAAGTTAGCAAAAATCTGTGAAATCATCTGGAATATGAACGCATTCTTGATGTCAGTGTGCTCAACGCCGTTTTCCCTCTTTTCTCAAGGAAAAACGCAGCCTTAAGCTCATTGAATGCATACAGATATATGTATACATATGGTATTGGTGATTCAAAAAGCAGCTGTGTGAGCCAATTCTATCGCATTCTTGAAGATACCCGTTCATAAGCTATTTAAATTTGACATGATTAACCGAACTGCGTATTTTCAGACAAAGATCTATTCTGTATGAGTGCTTTTGATACTTCAGGTGACTCGGGCGGGCTTCAGGCCACATTTTTACAACCTGAAAATGCCAAGAGTTTAACCAGCAGTAAGATGCTAAAACCTTCGAACATAAATGTAGTAATGAATCGATGCAGGCAAACTTCTAATTCCGTAACAAATACTCTATTCCCGAATTTACAAGGCAATTAACAATGGAAACACCGCGAAAACTTCAACTGTCGAAGAAAAAACTGAAACTAAGAAAAAATTACGCCCATTGCTTTTTACTTCTTGAAACGCTCACTGTGCAACCCAAACTATTTTTTTGCCGGAAATCAGATAAGTCGCTATGACCAATAGTTTGAAGTTATAGTACGAGAAATCCTGATATATGGTATCAATTTTTTGGAAGCTAATATTGCGAATGCGAGTTTGATAATTTTGACACTTTAAAACTGTAGAACAGAAAACCTAAGAAGACTCCGATAACTTTTCGCCATTAAATTCAAGCTATTTTATTTACTTTAATTGAGGCTTGGTTTCTATCGGGCCAGGCCGGACTGAATTATCCCGGTCACATGAACAGATTACTCAATTTATTTCATTTCAACTGATATTTGAACGGTCCTACCATCAAATGGAAGAGGTAGATTGAGTTGAAACTAGGAATTTTTTGTTGATTGGACGGGGACCCACGGGTTTTTCATGAGACACGCGAAGAGACCAGCAGTGGGGTGAGACGGGTGTCTAATTTGAATATCCCAACGGGGGAGATCAGCGACAAGGGGAAAAGCGACTCCGTTGTACACGCGAAAAATTTCAAGTTCATTCCCCGAAAGCGTCCAGGTGTGGTCATCTGCCGAGCACGCGATTCCGATTTCAGAAATAAAGAACAAAAATAAGAGGAAACGGAACGAGGGTGGCGTCGGGAATGAGCTGCTAGGCTCCCCGGCGACGCCAGGACCTAATCACAGGTTTCGTGTTTCGACAATGGATTCTCTGCTGATGACTTCGAAGCAGGCGAGCAGCCGTCGCGATGAGGACAGCACCGACGACGACTTCTTTCCGTCCCTGCCGCCGGAAGGCGCCGTGGCGGCCAATGTCATGTGCGGCTACCACAGCTGGTACCCTCATCAGCTGCGCGGAAACGCTTCAATCACGGCCCTGTGACACCTTCGAGAGAGGAACCCCAGTTTTCTCTTAAAACTTGCTGCGTGTGAGCGACTTCTTCGCCTTTCTGAATGACTCTGAAGCTTTCAAGGACTAGGTTTTCATTCCCGCATGCTGCACGAAGTTTGTCGAGGCCCTTTTCGAACGAATAATTATATCGAATTCAAGGCGCTGTAAGACAAAACACGCGCTACCACACCTTGTGGTTCGAAAGAAAAAAAATTCTGTCGGAGATGATCACTTCAGAAATAGAGGACCCGGTTTCCATCACCAGCTTGACCTGGAACACTTCAAATTCTAACTCCTTGACCCACGGACCAAAAACAACAGCAAGCAATTTTCGACTGAATTTTACGCAGAACCCTTATTCCAAAGTTTCTGATTTAAAAAAAAGTACAGGTAATCTACTTTCCAGCATTTCCAAGAGACCATAAAATAAATTACACCATAAAATACGGTACAAGAGACTACTGATTACAAGACGCACCGTTATACCGTATTTTCAGCTAATTTTTGCTAAGAAAAAAAAAGCCGTCTCATGTTGAAGAAAAATCGAATTTAAAGGGAAAAACTTACACATGATTTTAACAGAAATCCATTCGCAGTTCATCACCTTGAGATAAAACATATACAGAAAAATCCGACAGGCAGAAAACGGTGAAACTGAGCACGAGCTCCTCTGTCGCAAAAGCCCCTCTGATGTCTCGGAAAGATGTCCATTTCAACGGAAGTTTCTGAAAATCCCACAGCCATGTATGAATGGATTCGGCCACTGGGATCGCAGGGAGAGTTATTTGCACTTGGCAGCTCGGATTTCGGGTTCGAGAGGGGACACGCGGTCGGTGAGTACCGGTAATGAAAAATTAAGGCCTTCCCGTTTTCTGTCCCCGGACAATCCAAACACACTGCCGTCGCGGGAAATGAGACGGAGATGGGGAAACTCAACGCTCGTGTTTGCCGAGTGTCGTGGACTCCGTGCTAGCCATTTCTACGATCGCCCAGCTTCTTGGCTTTCGCCTCTACATCCACATTTTTCCAGTTCCGTGGATCCCCCCTCCCCCGAAAAACGATGCTCAGCTTGTTTGCACTGCAAACGGCGGTCCCTTCAGTTTACTCAATCCATATCAGCATATCTAACCAATGTTTATATTTCATCGTCGTATGTGATCGACAAGCGCTTCGCGGGGTGTCGCGTCGAATGTCTCCGCATCCGGGGACGCCACTTGCCCGTAGTACTCAGGTCACACCTTGGTGGAAACATGTTGCAATCTCAAAACTAATTAGTCTGGAAGCTAGAAGCGACAAAAATACAGGAACAGGCATGGTGTCGTGTCCTTGATGAAGTTAATACAACCCCCTCCCCCTCCGGTTTCCTGGACCGGCCATCAAAAGTAACAACGAAAACAGGGCTACAAAACGCTGGAACTCCAGACAGTAATAAGAGTCGTTTCACGTCCGATCGAAGGGTTGTCCCACTCTGCGTTTGTATCAACGCGCAGATGATAAATGATCATCTACGAAAGTCGCAGACGACAATTAATGCAGCTCTGTGGAAACCATTACTGATCAAGTAACAGTTCGCTACCTCCATCCATCAACAAACGTAATTGGCGTTGGACCATTTTTGGCTTCCTTCGCGAGAACATCGAGTGATCCAAAACATACGCCACAGAATCACAGCTTGTCTGGCATGAGCTATGTTTACGAGCACGGCGTGAACCCACCCTCGACTATCTTTACCGCGATAAGCAAAGCGACATGCGAAACAGAGCGAAGTGATCCCGTGCAATTAAAGGATGTTGTGCACGAAAGCTGGAAACTCCCACGTTTACGCGGGATTCTCATGCGTCTGAAGGGAGGAACCACGAATGAAAATGTTCTTGCTATTTCCGGCTGGATATTAAGCACGCACGCGGTTTCTGGGATCGTGAGGAACCGCAACAAACAGTAGCGTAGTTGTATTTACCTCACGCACAACTTTTGCTCATACGTGGCTTTGTGTAACTTTGCTCGGCATTTAACGCCACAAAAATCAAACAAACGCATAATCGGATCAAACATTTTCGACGCTCATTTTATCCGCTCAAGAAATGTGAGGCAAAATGCATGGCAGTACTGCTTTATTAGGACACACTCTTCTGCTTCGATGAAAAAGCGACGTTCAAAAATCACATCTTCAACTACTGTATGAAGAAAGGTCTCGCTGCATTCCATCAGCTATTGTTCAAATGAATCTACAGGAATTCACCGTGTGAAAATGCATGAACAAAGCTTACAAAGTATTAAAAAAAACAAGTTGAATGATGTTTTCATTAAATCATTAAAAACCCCGAATAATCGAAAATGAAAGAAAATTACTGCATTATGAAAACCTGAAGTAGTTTTTGCGACTTACTTTCAGATCTGAGAGAAAAGTTCATTTTTTCAGGCTTCCTACAAACAAAATTCGAATAAAAGATTATGTTTGGATCTCTGATACTCTACGTCGAATGATTCGAGCAGCCACGATTTTTTCCGGTCCAAAATCTGGGATATGTTTAATTGAATGTTTGATTCATTGAGACATAAAACCGAGGTTCTTTCGAGGCTAAAAGTGAAAATATGAAACGACGTTGACTTAATTGCTCGCTACTTAGAATAGTTTCCGCGGCTGACGGAGGGTGCGCATCATCAGCCAAACCAAACAAAGCTCAACAATAACTCGTCGACGATAGGCGAACTACACCAGGTTCCTCGCCTGGTTGTTGACTCGGGACCCACTCCAGCACACTATACAGAAGCTCGAATCGCGAGCAACAATCGGGCAGATAAGAAAAGCCGGGTAAATGTGGCACTTCCGACCTTCGCTGAACGCTGTCAATTAAAACCACAAGCCAGCTCCTTCACTCTGACAGATAAAGCGACGTTCGCACGGGTTTCCGGTTCAACTCGTGGATCCGATTCTCCAGGAGGATCGTTTAACCGTTAGCGTCTTCGAAATACGAAAGGTTTCTGAAACCAAGAGGGTTCACTTTTGCTCGAAACAACCAATAAAGAACGGATAGAAGCGAAGAATTCCAGAACTGTATTCCCGTCCCCACGTTTTAGGATGGCGACGCGCTCAAAGAATTTCCGACCGATTATTCTCAACTAGCATTACGTACCTTAAATTCAACGAATTGAAGCTCCACTACATTCAACATGGACGTGATAAAAACTGGATGAAAAAATCAAAATTGCTTGTTTTAACATGAGAAAAAATGTCGCTACCGGGTGCACACAAAAAAACACTGTCCTCATCATGAACTGATGATTGCTGTAACTATCAATTATTCGGAATCACGTTTGCGAACATTCGATAACAAGGAGGCATTAATTTCAGACTGATGATTCAAGAGGAGCATTCTAAATTCAACAACTTTCAGTTTTGGTACCTTTCCCGAAGAATAAAATGAAGTGCTGAAAGCACTTGATCTGATCAAAGCACAAATTGCCGTGACTAAAGGTCCATCGTATCCGAACATTGCAGTCTCCACCAAAAAACATTTAAGAACTGTTTTATGGTAAATAATGATCCAAATGCTGTACTTCTACAACGTCACTTTACACTAATTCTTGAACTCATGCCGTAAATGCGCTACTATTCTTCGACGAGTTCATAGCCTACTTCTTCGAGTAAAACAGAAGACGAGCACGTCTCTACTTGCGATTTGAGAAATGTCTTTTCAGATGGTAAAAGAAATCAAGAAAGTGGTGGTTAGGGCGTCTAAACGAACATTCGATCAGCCACTCGATCTAATTTCCCAGTCGCAGCTGTAGGTAATCTCACCCCGCGATTAGGTCCAGATTGCAGCAATCTACGTGGCCAGCGAAGGGAAGCTGAAGGACTTGAATGCCCGCGTCAACCAAAAGGGGGAGGAAATCCGGGCTCGGCTCAATTCTCCTTAACCGTTGAAAAACGCGGAAAGCAGGGTCGCTCTGGGGGTGTAGGCAGCGTGCGGCTCACCCGCTCTTAAAGTGGCCGAGTATTTCGGAAGCACGACGAATCCGTCGTCCGCCCAGATGGTACGAAGACGAAGGGGAAAAAGAAGTGGCTCACAAGTCGCGGGGTTCACGTGAGGTGGGGGCTCAGCAGCACCTGGGAACCGCGATTTTCCGTTTCCCAGCGGAAACCAGAAAGTTCCTGGCACCCCGCCTAGGACAACAGTAGCGACGGCTGCCAGAGCACCCCTCGACACGGACTAAAAATAAAGCACTACGACACCCCCTCAAGGCTCTCTTTGAGAAATGGCGCATTCTCAACTGTTGGAAAGTCGTAAACAACTTGTGTTACTCACCAGGCTGTCCAATTCTGGGTTGGGTACATAATACGGCTTCTCCTGGCGAATCTGGAATCAAACCGACAAGAAATCCAACGTTCAGAACAGATAGGGGTTTCTCGAACTTCAGTTAACCCACACATGTTATCTTGCAACCAAGGCACATTTTCTGAATAAAGTACATTACTATTACCTATATTACAGCGATTTGAAGAAACCGTTCAATTTAACATTAATTTTAATTTTACAGTCGCGCAAATCGAGCCAACGTTGAAAGGCGTAGGTAAGATTGTCTTCACTTTCTTCACAATATTGTAGAAAAAAAACTCGTATCAAGTGGTGGTTAGACCGAATTCCTGATCACATCAGCTGAAATACAGTCGAATCATTACTATGACTGACTGAAAGAGGTTTAAATCAGTTTTATTTCGAGTGAAATTACCTCAATTTTTGACTACCTCGTCCACGTCTCCTGAAAAGAAACGCCTCGGAGAAGAAAGTTTTCGGCTATTTTCGGTTTTCGCCTAAGTTTTTCACAGTCCGTCATCGAATTATCAGTTCCTCGTACAGTATTACGTCGGGATCATGCCTCACTTGAAATCAGGGGTTTCTGGGTGCTTCACGAGTTAACGAGACACTCGCAGGGGTGTGCCATTTTATGAACTAACCCATAACAATACAATTCCTGCATATGACTCAAAGACACCATCGATTTCAAAACACGTCCTAATTTTCTTTATTCCAAATACGGATAAGTGACCCTCGTACACGAACAGTATTCTAGTAAAAATCATAGATCGACACACGAAGTACAACAAAGGCATAGAAATGTCGTCGCCTTGACTTTCCGAACCTATGATAAATGAGGTACAGTAAAATACATACCTGCTTGGAGAAGTGGGCGATGTCGTCGTTAAAGGAATCTGACGAGCAGACGTCACCGCCAGCTACACCGGGATCACGTGGCGTGCACGTTGCCAGCTCGCATTTCTCGAAAATTAGAGCCAGGAGAGGAAACAACGGGTGCCTGTGGAAGAGCCAAATGACAAGGATGAATCAGATGATGCCTGGTCACAGATTCCGCGATGCTCGCGAAGCCCCCGTTGCTCAAATGAATCATTGCTAATGGGTTGCGAGAGCATAATTTGGGGCGCCCCCAAGGATCACGGGACCCCCCAGTTCCCATTACGCCCGGATCTCGAGGGACGACTACGGAAATGACTACAAACCCATTTTCTCTCGACCCGGGCTTCCCTATTCTCTGCCTCAATGCTTCACTGACTCCTTCCGATGGACGGAGTAGCTTCTCTTCCCCATACGTTGCCATCCTCAAAATCGACATCTCAAAAGTCTCACACCATCAACGGTTTGCGAAAACATATAGTCGTCGTAATCGGAAATTAAAATAAACCTCAAGGTCGCGGAAGTAGATAACTTGTCAAGATAACGATAAATTTATCAAGAACGCCGTAAGTACGGGCAGGAGGCTTGATCGCATTGTGGTCGAGATTTTTTTGGAGATTGGAAGTAGAGACGGGCCTGCCACGTGACGCGAGTCAATGCTGTATAAAGTGCAGGCCGTGTCAAGAGAAACTCAGCGAAGCAAGAAGTACCCAGCAGTAAAATCACTCCAACAAAGGGACTTCATCATCGATTATTTGACTTTATGAGAATCATATACTAGACTCATCTGCGTTTCTTTTTTTTCTTTTATTTTCTCGCGTAGAAGCTAAATTTCTTGTGAAACGGGTGACTCTGTGAGTCACAGAAACAATTATGTAATGAGAGTGTCATCAAACAGTTGAAGTCCACTTTTCATCAGAGAGAACGCATGCATTATCTCAACAAGTGCTTCTCTCGCTGCACAGTCCAGCTGTATGAAGAGAAAAGCCCCGAACTAAAAGAAAGCAGCAGAAATATCATCCTACGGAATTTGTGAATTTTTGCTGAAGAACAAGTGGAATTCGTGTCATGACACTCTCCGTTCGATGATGTGCAGCGTACTTGGCTTGTGGAATTGGGCATGAGGCAGGCTTATTTTGTGTTTCACGCTTTTCTCTCGTCACCGATACTGACAACAAAGAATCTTGTCTTCGTTATGACGAATACCGATAATACAGTGATTACTTGAACTAAAGCAAAACAAAAATGGCTTCTACGCAGCAATTACTGTACAGTACTGTGCACTGTTTCCCAAGGATATTTTCAACGTGGCGGATGTCCACGCGCTGCGTCTGAGCAGTGCACATCGTTCGCAGGGCCTTCAGTGTACGCTTCATTTCCTTCGCGGCGAAAAATGACTGGAACGCATTCGCTCCGCTGCTCACGCGGAGGTGCTTCCGTCGACAGTGCGATGAGCAACGGAAATCCTCGGTTTCAGTCCTCGTTCTATTCGCGGCCCCTGAGCGACCCCCTGAACCCTGTATTCCACGCACGATGACCTCTCCGGCGAAAATCCCAGGCGGGGAAGAGCAGCGTTTCTCCCGAGTCACAGCGCGTCTTTGCATGCAAAATGGTCCCCCAGTCACTTCTCATTCAACTGACTATTCATCTCCGTATCGCTCATCCATCACCGGGGTCGCCTTTGTGCGACGAACCCGACGGTTTCCAGACGCGATCGACGGCATCCGGGATACTCCCGGATTTGAACTAGCCAAGATTTCGGTACGTGAAGGGAGCTAAAAACAGGCCTTGTCGGACATGCGACGGGCGAATGAAGTGACATGCGATTGGAAGCATCTTAGACAACTGTTAACAAGTGACGGGGAATGATGATTAACCTCATCAGAACGAAAATTTTTAGAATCTCTATTTCTAGGGTAATTGCATGATTCCGCAGAATATTGAAGTTAAATAACAGTCCCTCACTCAAGCAGTGAGCTTTTACCCCGATCGGAAGAGTTTCCAATAAATGCAATCGTGCACATGTTGCTCCAAATACTGCAAATATTTTTCTTCAAAATCAAGGAATCAATCCGATCTTCACTAAACGATCTCTGTCAGTTATGGAAAAACATTTTTTCGATGAACAACGCGGTCCGAAGTGATCCACTATGAGTAGAAACTTTGACTAAGTAACGAATATCTTGACATACAATGTTATCAACAGGAGACATTTTCAGAATCTCTGTTTTTAGAATAACCTCATGTTCGGTGGCGCTCCAACAAAAGCAAAACATGAACCATGAAGCTTACAGAAATTAATATTACCAGACGAGCTTATCAGCCGCGGAACTCGTGGAAAAACTTCTTCCTGATTTACAATGTCATGTGACTTCATCAAACGTGAGAGAATTTCCAACATGGTACATGCACATCTTGACATTCGATGTCATCAAGCAGCATGGATGGTGCGATAAAACGAGAGTTGGTGCTCAGAAAAATTCAGGACCCTCTAGCAACCATAAAACAGCGTGGTTTTGATAACGGTAGGGGAGGACCAGGAATCTAGTACAGTAGTGGGAATGATAAATCGAATTGGAGTTGAACAGCAGATCACTCACCCATAAATGGCATCCTTGTCGCGCTTCTGGCCATCGGCGACGGGACCCATGACGTGGTTCGACACCGACGGCACGGCATGGTTGCTGCTGTACGGCGAATGCATGGTGTGGTTCACCAGTGGCATGCCCGCGGCGCCGCGATGCGGATCATGAATCGCCGCCAGGGTTTCCAAACCGCCACCCGCGGCCCCACCGGCAGCGCCGGGGTACCCGTACAGGCCCCCGTCATACTCCGACATGATCGGACGCTGCTAACAGTCTCTCACACAACTATTGCACTTGCTCCCGGATCGCGACAGTTTTCAATAACTTCAATCGTGCACTCCTAATACGACATGTTACACTATCTTTCCGCGCACACTGAGTTCGTCGGCGCGTGATCCCGTCTCAACCTTCGACAAGAACTTAACTGTCACTGAAGTTTCATCAAAAAAATGCACAACAGAAAGCAAAATCATCGGACGATCGCAGAATTTTCTTGGAAAAAGGGTGAGTACGATGAAATGCGGAATGCACCGCATACAAAATGTACGGCCTAAAGGTTACCGCACCGCAGAAAATCTCGCGCGCAATAAAAGTTGAGTTTCACCTACAATACTCCAATTTTTGCCATAAAAACGGCTGGAAATGTTCCTCAAATTGGAGAGGCTATGCATAAAACGATTAGTACACAACTCGAGGCTACAGCGAGAAATTACGTACTAATGTCATTACTGCATACTCAATGTGTCATAGCAGATCTTCTGAAACAAAGCGGAATTCAGCATTTCGGCATGTATAAAAGCATGGTGAATTGTATAATCCGGACGGGAAATCGATGCTTACAACAGCCCGCATCAACTCGCATTCCCCTAAATGTTGTGCTTGAAAAAAATGGAACTCGCGAATTTCAGAGGATTGTTCGTAGATCAGGCGACTTAATAAAAAAATCAAGTCAAATGTTGGGTTATTTCATGGAATCATTTAATACATGGCGAACTATCCCCGAGTTTATGCTAAACAGAAGATTGATGATGAGGAGATCAACGAAGCAACGTTAAGCTCGACAAAGTCTACTCTACACAATAGAAAATCACAGCAATGCTTTCAAAGTTTGTGTGATACCGCTTTTACGTTACGTGAAGTACTGTATCAAAAATAATCCACAATACTGTAATCCCAATGCGGAAATGATCCACTAAAAAATGTCAACTAGCTACATGTTACAACCTCAGAAACCAAGGGATAATACAGTACTGTACGCAAGTGTTCACATAGTATGGCGTTTTATTTACAGAGGGCATCATTACCTTTTTCGCATCATGAATTTGAATCGTATGCACACACAATTCAGGGATAATCCAGAAAAGGGCGGAAAGAATTGGAGATCTTTTGGCACTTAACCTCGTCACAGCAATTCCAGGTCACGGAAAACGAATATGCATTCAATCTGTTCAAGGGTCACAGACACTCGAACAGCCTTCATTCACGGAGTATTTCAAGCGTTTCTTAAATGACTTGCTGACCGGTGACGCACGAATACGAATAACTTCGATCTTCTATCGTCAGAAAACTGATTTCAGCGGAAGAGAATCGGCTCAGTCAAGTCTGTGCTAAGCTGATTTCGGAAAAAAAAATTAGGGAAATACAATATATTAATCTCCAAATTTTGAAAGCTTCGTCCAGCAATCGGCCCTAAGTATAAAAAAGATGAATTTCTGTTAACGTTCATGAGAAGAGGACAACTGCTGAGGCGAACAGAAGTTCCCCAAAGTATATCCAGATCTTTGTCAACAGCAAAAGATTTAGACAGGAATGAGTCACCGAGCACTCGGCCCCAGCACCGTCCCCATCTCATGACTTTCACACGAACACTGACAATACGTTCTGAAAATGCCGCGACTGCCGCTGTGAAATCACGCGATTTTTCCTAGGAATTCGAGGCGATGATGCAGTTCGGAGACGAACTTGACTTCACTTTTGAGAAAATGATGTCGTGAAGGTGCTCGAGGGTTTTATTATTTTATAAGAAGACGCACACGGACTTTTTTTGGAATTCTGAAGAACTGTAATTCAGAAATACTGAAGCTCAAAAAGCAAGCGTAAAAACTTGATCTTAGACGACACCTACGATTTCAAGAATAATTAAAATAATACAAATTATTACGGCATTTGAGCTACGAAGTCACTGCACGTTCTGTAAAATGTGAAATTTGTATTATTATGATCATGCTGCAGCATTGAGGTGACCTTATGATCGGAGAAGTGGTGATGCTGCTCGCACATACTCTAAAATATGTGACCTTCAAAAGCTGAAAATAGCAAACGGTTCCCAAAAAACCCTCTTCGCGATGCGTTCAAAAGCGCCAGAAAAGGACGATCACTACATTATACTATACTGAACATACCACGATCTGCAGGTACAGTAGTTGAACCCACAAATTCACAATGGTTTGATCACCATGAAAATCAAGTTTCCTCACTGCTGAAGATCACGACTTCAATCAGACGGAATCCGTTCATGCCAATCGCGTAACGAATAGGTCACGGTTCCGTCACAGACAAGGACACACTCAACAGCCGATTTTTTTTATGCACAACCACAAGCGCCAAGTGCGGGCTTCGCAAAAGTTGACATGGCAACTGATCGCACCAATGGTCAACGCGACCCGCGCCGGCGTGAAGACGAGACGCTGTTGTCCGGGTATCCGGGTTGTGCGCGGGGCCCATCAATACCACCCAACGCGACGAGGCTTAAACCGGTTTCCGACGTTTACACAAAAGGACTAGGCCGCAGAAACAAAAACCACATGACGGACAAGGGCAGCCCTGCAGGAGATGCGAAGTTACCAGCGTTTCCCAGGGCTCGAAGGCATCAAGGACAAAAACACCCGGGCTAACTTTTCGCTGGGACGAAAGTCTTCCCAGGTTCTAAAGCTTCGAGACCCCCGTCGCAGTCGAACAGACAAAACCCACGTTATTCACACTTCTGAACACATTGGCAATGGAAATGCGAGATTCGCCTCAGTTTCTTCGTCGCTACACCGCATCTTTCTTATTCCATACTCGGAAAAATTCACAGCAGATTCAAATTTCATAAACCGAACATGTACAAATAAAACTTTTATGACACAAGTCAGGGGAAAGTATGAAAATTCTTATTCTTAACCCAGTGAACGAAACCACAAATTATTCATAAATACCAAGTTTTCACGTACTGTACTTGATACGTTGCTGCTGGCAAATTGAGATATTCGACGTTTTACTGACAGGTGGATTCATTATTGCACAACTTTCTGCAGCAACCTTGCAAATAAATATAACTACAGTAAAGTACTAGGATGATATAAATAACTCTATTTTGCGAGCCCCAAACAGAAAACTACTACACTGTATAGCTTTTCTATGAGGTTTTCGTGATTTGCAAAATCTGGATGACCGCAGATTTTCAACTTGTTAGAGGTTAGCTCGCGATTATCAGATCCCTTCATCCTCTTTCCAGTTTCCCAAAAAGACACAGAACTTCAAAGCAAGTTTGTTCAGGAGGGTCTAACATTTAATCCGTTATTTCGAGATTTCTGAATGGACATTCACACCAGGATTATTTATAAATTTAGGCACTCGATTTCTTCAATTACCATCTAACACAGATTTTCTTTCAACTCCTCCCAATTCATAGCAGCATTTCATAATTTAATTAAAATTATCTACTTGTGTTTAAACGAACTGCGCCCTGTGAAGCTTCAATGGTCATGCACTTCCCGCAGCTAGCCTCGGTGTTCACTTCGGAGGAATATGAAAGAAAATTACGCAAATTATCATCCAAAAGTAGTTTCCGTATGTGACACGAGTCCGTGATTCAAGGTGAACGATAGTAAGGACAGATTACTTCGGTTCTAAGAAAAACATATTCTCCAAGACCTCTGGTATGCTTTATGAGCTACCCAAGGGAATTGATTTCAATAGGGGGCTCCATCAAAATATTGACTAGGATAAGGGTTTCTCACAGCGAAGATGTTGATGAATTCTGGCCTTGCAATAATGAGTTATTTTGTCTTCAAAGGAGTTGTGGTCATCCTTTCCATGCAGTGCTGATCTGGACGGCACGATTTTATTTAATAATTGCTCATGACATCTGACCAGGCAGAATTATGAAAATAAGTAATTAACATTTATTCCCATTGATAATAGTTGCAACAATTAGATGTACAGTACACTTATTGCAGTGAAGCAACGGGCCTCCCAATCCAGATAAAATATGTGGGCTAATTTCTCAAATAAGCACTGCTTCGAAAGAAGGATATTCACGACTAAGTTCTAGCAAAAATGCGTAAGATTTGACTTTCAACAATAACCTTCAAGAGCTTAGTACTACATAGTGCGGGGATTCAGCTCAACATAAAATATTCTGGAAGATGCGCGTCCACAAAAGTTATTCTGGAGCGAGTTTAAAATATTTGCCGAGAATTTTTTATATAGCCCTCATGCTTATACTGTGATTTGCCCAAAATAATAAAAATTATTTGGAAGGTGCGGTTCCAAAAGACGCAGGGATTAGGCCTGCGTCCACAAAACTCAAGTTTTGATCGGTTTATTCAAATCTCGACGACCAAAAACGCGTCGCTCCTTCACACAGCTAGCAAGAAACCGCATTACGCCCAGAACGCGTTTTTAACCGGACACAATAATTGAATAATCCTATCATCCACTGTCAGGGGCGACTGTCCGGCACCGGGAACGCGGGCGAAATGCGACTTCAACTCGAACCTGGCGCGAAGCTCGGCCGTTCTCATGGGGCTGATGGGCGTTCCGGGGAACGGAGCGACGGATGCTCCTCCTACCGGTGGTATGTTGCACCTCGTACAACATTTTGGGTCTCGAGCCAATGCGGGCTCATACCTGGGCCCGAGTTCAGCATCGTTCACGACACGCTGGCTGCATCGGAGCCGAAAATTTTCGTCTCGCTGTTCCTTGCTTGCTCGCATGCATGATATCACTCTCGATAAAAATGCATTCCGAGAGATTTCGGACCCACGAAAGAGCTGCATTTGTAAGCTGACCGAGCCGTGTTCGGTTTCGAAGACGGACGATGAACGCGGAAATCGCGAGAGCGTAAGATCCTCCACAGTTTCAACATTAATCAACGCATGCGAATTGAAACCTGTTTAATGTTGATTTTCTGCATTAATCATCGCTTCGAGGTTAATATCCTCATAGCACCACTCCATTTCCTGCAGTATTTGGTCAACAGAAATAATTATTTATTATCCCGCGTAATTTTTATGCCGTTCATATCCACTATCAACGATTGTAATATTTAGAAAACTGTCATTTTCAACATCACTTTATGGCTTCTGATCCTTATAGTTGAGAATTTGGCAGTCTGAAATTCCAATTCATTCTAGCTGTTTGTGGCCTATTTTTGCGCGATTG